ATGGGGGAAAATGGGGAAAAATAGGGGGAAATTGGGAAAAACAGGGATCCCATTTTTCCCAAAATCCCACTTTTTCGCCCCGTTCTCAGGAGCTGAGCCTGCTGGACGAGTCCAACACCATTTTTAAGCTTTTGGGCCCCGTTCTGGTCAGGCAGGAGCTGGAGGAGGCCAAAGGCACCGTGGGCAAGCGGCTGGACTACATCAGCGGGGAGATGTGCGTGCAATTTGGGGTGAAAAACCGGGATTTTGGGCAAAAATGGGGAAAATGGGGAAAAATTGGGGAAAATGGAGAAAAAATGGGGGGAAATTGGGGAAAAATGGGGAAAAGAGGCGGGAAATTGGGAATAAAAGGGGGAAGAATGGGGGAAATGGCTGGAGTACATCACGGGGGAGATGTGGGTTCAATTTGGGGTGAAAAACGAGGATTTTGGGCAAAAATGGGGAAAAATTGGGAAAAAATTGGGAAAAAAATGGCTGGAATACATAATGGGGAAAATGTGGGTTTATTTTGGGGTGTGAAACGGGCATTTTGGGCAAAAATGGGGGGAAATGGGAGAAAAAATGGGAAAAAAGGGGATTTCCCCCCCAAAATTCCCATTTCCCCTCCCAAAATTCCCATTTTCCCCCCAAAAATCCCCAATTTTTTCCCAAAAAAATCCCCGTTTTTCCTCCAAAAAATCCCCATTTACCTCCCCAAAATCCCCGGTTTTTTCCCCCAAATCCCCATTTTTTTCCCCAAAAATCCCCATTTTCTTCCCCAAAATCCCCATTTTTTCCCCAAAAATCCCCATTTTTCCCAAAATCCCCGTTTTTTCCCCCAGGAAACGCTACGAGCAGCAGATGCAGGAGCTGGAGCGGCGCTCGGAGCAGCAGCGGGAGCTGCTGGGGCGGCTCCAGCAGGAGCTCCAGGCCAAGCCCTGACCCCCCCAAAATTTTGGGGACCCCCCCAAAAATTTGGGGACCCCCCCCAAAATCTTGGACCCCTCAGAGCCCAAAAATCCCGATTAAATCCCAGAAAAACGCCCCCAAAATCCAGATTTTTGTCTTACTTTGACGTTCAATTCTCACATTTTGGGGGTTCCTGAGCACCCCAAAATTTTTGGGGACGCCCCCAAAATTCTTGGACCATCCCTGGCCCCCCCAGACCCCAAAAATGCCCCCGGAAGTTGGGTCCAAATCCCCCAAAATCGGGGAATTTCGAGCGCTGGGGGCGTGGCCAAGGCCTATGGGGAGGGGCCAAGTGCCTAAAATGGAAAAATGGGGCGTGGCTAAAGCCCCTATATGGAAATTAGGGGTGTGGGGGCGTGGCCAGAGTCGCTGGGGAATTTTGGGGGGTTTTAGGGTTGGGGGCGTGGCCAGAGCTCCGTGGGCGTGGCCATGGCCTCTGAGGAGGGAAATTTTGGGGTTTTTTGAGGGTTTGA